CATGCAATGTCCTATGCCGTGTCTCTCGCTGATGATCTAGGAAGCACAAGGGTGGACTTTGAGACTGACTCACAACTGTCGTTGGATGCCCTTGACATGTACAAGGTGGATTCGTTGGCGTATGCTGCTGTCATTGAGGATACAAAATACTAGCTAAAAATGTGGTTCTCTCGTTATGTACTCCCTCTGTCCCATAATATAAGAGTGTATTTGACACTACTTGACTACAGGGCGTTCGGGGTCTTGTAGGACATCGGGAGGGGCTGGATGCGCGCCGCGTGGCGATCCCTGGCCATGGACGCGCTTTCTGCATCCACGGGGGCACGATGAGCAGATGTGGGGGTGAGGGGGGTTAGGTGGGCTGGGCCTTACTGTTCTATTAAGGCCCAGTTGCACAATAATGTATTTCCCATTTTTCTTTTCTATTTTCTCTTACTTTAATCATTTCTCCTCAGTTTGATAATTTCATTATATACCAAATTACATTGGCAGCATATGAAAATTGGCACATAAATACTAGGCCATATATTGAGTTAGCACAATTTGTTACAATTTATTTTGAAATGCTTAATTATTTGTTTAAATTGAAATCGCTCTATTTAGTGTTGTTGGTGCTCTTTTAATTAGGTTAAGGCTATTTTAATAATTCACATGATGTTGTTTTTTTCATGAAAATTAGTTAGTGAAAATTTGCAACCCAACAAACATTTTTTTACGGTTTGAAGAAATAATAATTTGACTTGTATTTGAATTTGAATTTGTCTTGAGCTCCAACTAAGTGCCAAATTAACTTAGCAAACATGGTGACATGGCATCATTAGGTTGGGAATACTATAGCATGATTATTGGGGTGTTACACATCATATGCGCCCATGCAGGACGCCAGGAGAATGTCAGCGATGCTTTTGCAGTGGAAGCTCATGCAATGTCCCATGCCGTGTCTCTGGCTGATGATCTGGGAAGCACAAGGGTGGATTTTGAGACCGACTCACAACTGTCGTTGGATGCCCTTGACATGTACAAGGTGGATTCGTTGGCGTATGCTGCTGTCATTGAGGATACAAAATACTAGCTAAAAATGTGGTTCTCTCGTTATGTACTCCCTCTTTCCCATAATATAAGAGCGTATTTGACACTACACTGGTGTAAATTTGACTACAGGGCGTTCGGGGTCTTGTAGGACATCGGGAGGGGCTGGATGCGTGCCGCATGGCGATCCCTGGCCATGGACGCGCTTTCTGCATCCATGGGGGGCGGTGAACAGATGTGGGGGCGAGGGGGGTTAGGTGGACTGGGCCTCACTGTTCTATTAAGGCCCAGTTGCACAATAATGTATTTCCTCTTTTTCTTTTCTATTTTCTCTTACTTTAATTGTTTCTCCTCAATTTGATAATTTAATTATATACCAAATGACTTTGGCAGCATATGAAAATTGGCACATAAATGCTAGGCATATATTGAGTTAGCACAATTTGTTACAATTTATTTTGAAATGCTTAAATATTTGTTTAAATTGAAATCGCTCTATTTAGTGTTGTTGGTGCTCTTTTAATTAGGTTAAGGCTATTTTAATAATTCACATGATGTTGTTTTGTTCATGAAAATTAGTTAGTGAAAATTTGCAACCCAACAAACATTTTTTTTACGGTTTGAAGAAATAATAATTTGACTTGTATTTGAATTTGAATTTGTCTTGAGCTCCAACTAAGTGCCAAATTAACTTAGCAAACATGGTGACATGGCATCATTAGGTTGGGAATACTATAGCATGATTATTGGGGTGTTACACATCGTATGCGCCCATGCAGGATGCAAGGAGAATGTCAGCGATGCTTTTGCAGTGGAAGCTCATGCAATGTCCCATGCCGTGTCTCTGGCTGATGATCTGGGAAGCACAAGGGTGGATTTTGAGACTGACTCACAACTGTCGTTGGATGCCCTTGACATGTACAAAGTGGATTCGTCGGCGTATGCTGCTGTCATTGAGGATACAAAATACTAGCTAAAAATGTGGTCTCTCATTATGTACTCCCTCCGTCCCATAATATAAGAGCGTTTCTGACACTACACTGGTGTAAAAAACGCTCTTATATCATGAGACGGAGGGAGTAATATCTATGTGGAGGTGATCTGGAAACGCTGTAGCACACGAGTTAGCTTCTGTCCGTCGTTTGTATGGCTCGAACCATTATGTTGAGTGGGAGTCTAATGTACCAGCCCGTTTGGCTCGATGTGTTTTGAGTGACATGCCCAAGCACCATTAACTTATAAAGCTTTGCTTTCTCAAAAAAAAAATTAGGGCCACATCCTTCTAAGATTTGGTGAGCGTTTTGGACAGACGTGATGTCCTTGTCTAGGGACTTATTCAACACATAGGTGATGGGACAACAACTAGTATCTAGGAACACAATTGGCTCCCTCGAGATGAAATGATGTGGCCAATTGTCTCTTTATTCGGTAATCCACCATAAATTGGTAGAGGAACTTATAGATGAGACTACAGCTAAATGGAACGAATCACTTGTCCGAGAGCTCTTTTTGGGATGGAACTTTGATAGCAAAAGGAGTTTTTCTAATTCTGTGCAGTATGAGAAAAGATTAGAGCTCCCTTTGGAAGGTTGCTATCCCGTCAAAGTTGAAAGTTTTCGTGGAGAGACATTCACACCAATCTCTCCTAACTGTTGATCAACTGTGTTATGCACTTTGCAGGGGCGGATGATTCATTTGATTATCTTGGAAAAGACCTAGAATTGATCCACTTGACAACTGATACGTCTCAAATGTATATATAATTTTAAATGTTTCATGCTGCTATATTATCATTTATATATACTTTCATTATCATTTTATACCTTTTTATATTATTTTGAACCTGAGTTGTTGCAAGAAGACACGAGTAGCACACGCCCAGTCAAAAAGAAAAAGGAAGTGTAGTAGGACACAGACACGCGGCTGATTGATTTCCATAGGAAGCAGACAAACAGAAAAAGAGAAGAAGAGTAACACACGTACACGTTACACGCAGTTTGCGTGATTGATTTCCATCGAATGCATACGTTGATTGCAAAGTGGATACTAATTAGAAGGGATCATATTTAGAACTAGACGTAAAAGGCATGGACACGTTCGATGGAAGTTGATTGAAACAGTAGAAAACAGATGCAAGACACTGAAAAAGCCGAAAATAACCGTAGGGGAAAAAACTTGCGTGCAGCTATAGTTTTGGACAGGCTCAATTCCCTTCGCAGCTGGCGAGAAATAGCATTTGCATGACCAAGCTGGTTGTGTGTCTTCAATAGTGGGCTGACTTAGTATTATATGGGCATTCTTCTAAGTTGATGGGCTTCAAGGTTCAATCCCATTTTGCCCTTTTAGATTGCTGGGCCTGCTACCCCTCAAAAAAAGATTACTGGGCTTGCTTCAAGCCGAGCAGGAAAAAAAAGCAGCAAACACTGGACCCCTTCCAAGATATTTTAGAGAATCTTCTCAAAAAGAAGAAGAAGATATTTCAGAGAAAGACTAAAATGGAGATTCACCGGAATTTCGAGATCCAACAATCATTTCCCCTCTTGAGTCCTGCTTCTTTCCTTCTTTATTGGTTTATTAGCTTGGCCAGATAAGATATACACCTTTTTTTTGTTTGTTGCTGGGGATAAGATCTACAGCTATGTATGGCTATGTCACATGCACGCCTGCGAACAAGGTATAATCCATTTTGTCTTGGAAGAGACGAAATTGCAAGACTATCTTGTCATAAACTACTGGCCCAACCTTTGTTTAGAAGATATCCACATCATTCCCTCAAAAACAAAAGATATCCACATCACCCCACGTCCTCATTTTTAGCTATAATACAGATATGCGCAGTCTGTTGGGAAGAGACGAAAATGCCAGACTGTATTTTCTTAATCTAATGGCCAGATCTCCGGGTGTAGTGTCTCGTTATTTAGATTAGAAGTACACCAATCAAATGGCCAGATCTCTGGGTGTAGTGTCTCGTTATTTAGATTAGAAGTACACCAATCAAATGGCCAGATCTCCGGGTGTAGTGTCTCGTTATTTAGATTAGAAGTGCACCAATCTATGGCCAGATCTCCCTGTGTATTGTCTCATTATTTAGATGAAACCCAATCGAATGCACTTAACGACTAAGCTGCACATGCAGTGTCTCGTTATTTAGATTAGAAGTACAGCATATTCGTACGCTTTCACATGTACCTACAGAATGAATATTCTTGATGCCACTTGTGAGCGACTAACAGGAAACAGCTACGTATTACTACTATACTTCATAATCCTAATTGCCACTTAATACGATATCGAGTTTGTCACTAGATTAATTACACCATCTCCTAAGCGATCGATTGTGAAGCATGATCCTGTATTAACTAACCTTTCAAAGTTATTCTACAAAACAAAAACAAAAAAACCTGCCAAAGTTACCAAAGCTGTCCATGTGATGTTATCGATGGAGACGGAAGACTTCCTCTATGCCGTTCAAATATTTGGTCCAATGGTTGCTTGTTATTAGTTCCTCGTAATACAAGGCTGCAACCACCATTAGTTGCTAGGCATCTAATCACATGGACCTGATGGGCACATATCTTTTGTTAACTCGACATATGGAAAGACTCAAATTAAGCTCTAGTCAGGTCAACTTTCCCCTCTTCCTCCTCGACCGTGCTGCTTCATTATAAGTCCGCCTGCAGCTAGCTAGCAAGCAGCAAGGAGACAGGTATCTCGTTTCTCTCTTCGCAGCAAGGATTCCCCAAGCCGCACCAGTGCCCCTCTCAAGGTTAGTGCTATGCAGCTTGTTATTTCTAAATGTCCGCGGAATTATCATGCTATTTTGCCCTTCCATTTTGAAAACATCATGCTAAATTTTGCCTCCTTATTCTTGTAAACGTTGCTAAGCAACCGTACCACTTTGGTGAAATGAAATATTGTTTAGCAGTTAATACACAACTTGTGGCTCCCTCGCGTTTCTTAAATCATCAGAAATGGCTACGCCAAGCCTCATACTACCGAAGGAACTACCATATGAATTTTTGAAGAAAATCACGGATGACTTCTCAGATGACCGTAAAATTAGTGATAGTCCATTTGGAATACTTTATAAGGTTAGTTTGATTTTCTCTTGATATTTTCCGGTCCTTGCACTGAAGATTGATACCAATATGCTAATATAGAGTATATCTATGATATTGAACAGGGAATTAATCCAGATGATGGCAAAGTGATTGCTGTGAAGAAACTTCAGGAAAACGCACCGATGCCACCTAACAAAGCATTTGCGCAAGAGGTTCAGAATGTTATGGCGCTCAAACATGATAACATAGTACAGTTGGTTGGATTCTGCAGTGAAACAACAAAGAGATTGGTGCAGTTTGATAAAAGATATATCCAGGCAGACATTACCGAAAGTTTAATCTGTTACGAATATTTACCCAATGGGAGCCTTCAAAAGAATCTTTTTGGTACGCCACATGTTCTATGTCTGATCTTTTTATTTTTTGCATTTGTTCTCTTTCTTAGTGTCTACTCCAAGCTATATGGAGCTAGGAAATAACTTTTCGACGTTATTTAGTGTTTTGATCATTTTGTCTAGTTTTTCTCAATGTATGTCTACACTATATAATTTTCATCCAGACTCTTTATCTTTTTACGCTGATATACAGGAACCAAAGGTGACCAGGTTGTCTCTTCGGTCAACCCTATTATTGATTGGGACACACGCTTCACAATAATCAAGGGGATCTGCCATGGTTTACGTTTTCTACACAAGTTGGATATTCCTATCATACATATGGATTTGAAGCCTGAAAATATACTTTTGGATGCAAATATGGTGCCAAAGATCGCAGACTTTGCACTTTCTCGGGTATTTGGCCAAGAACAAACACGATTGTGCACACAAACAGTTGTGGGATCATAGTAAGCTCATCGTGATTTTTTTATAACATTAGGTTTCTTAATTATAACGTAATTAACTTCTGTCCACTTTACTCTCGATATTTCCCATTTAACTTGTTAATGCCATCCAGTGGGTACATGGCTCCAGAATATTTATATAGAGGTGAAATCTCGGCACAATCAGACATATATAGTTTAGGCTTGGTGATAATTGAGATCACCACCGGAGAGCAGAATTGCCCTGAAAAAGACCAACCATCTGCAAGAAATTTTATTGATAAAGTAAGATAAATACAATTTGATTATTTGAATATTGAACCCCACTTATGTTAAATTTAGTTTGTACGTTATCACTTACAATTTCTGTAGGTACGTGAAAAGTGGACAGAGGAGCACATAGCATCCAAGTACCCATCGTTAGGGTATGGTTGCCTCCAGCAAGTATTAGCATGCATCAATATTGGGCTGAAATGTGTTGCAATTGATCGGAAACTCAGACCTTCCATTGTCGACATTGTTCACATGCTCAATGGACTAGGTTCAAGATGAATGCAAACATGGTAAGCCCAGACATGTCTGAACTTACAGAAGATGTAAATAAGTATCTTAATTTGGGTATTCAAAAGCCTGATCGTGATAGATCCAATAGATGCACAGTTCCACATATACTTAGGTGTAGTAAATACATTCATATTCCCCCATATATGTAACTTTTTAGATATGTTGATATATATAAAGTTTCAAACATCAAAACTGAAATTTATTTAATTTTCTTGTTACCTTGTAAGAAAACTAGCAGAAACATGCATACAGTTGGAAATTATTTTTCACCTTGATGTAGAATGACCACATTTTTTATAGGTATTCTTTTTTTTAACCTCTGACCTCATGAATACTAATAAAAGTAATATGTACAAATCTAATCTAAAAAGAAAAAGAACCGGGAACTACCCAACACCACTATTTTCTAACATTGCGAATACATAATTAAGTCTGAAACTAGTTTCAGATCAAGGAGTTAATCCATTGATCAAGTTCTGAGCGCCATCCCTGTGAAGACTAAAACCCTAATCTATCTACTAGCTGAAGCCGAGTCACCATGATTCCCCACTCCGCCACCGGCCGCTAGAGGAGTAGGTTGAGGGGAAGGCCAATCCACTGGCTCGCTAGTGGAGATTGAGGGGAGAAAAGCTTTGCCCTAGTCACCTTGCGAAAGGGGAGAGAAAGACTAAATGCTAGCCCATCCGGTAGCCTAGCTAGCTAGCCAACATCTTCATAGGCATTTTTATGTAATTGTTGTGAACTTTAGCTTAATTTGTTCCTTTTTTTTCTACATATGTGAATATGACTGTAGTGTTAGGTTGCACATTCATTTGTTTAATCATGTGTTTTATGCTACACATTTCAGATGGTTGTGAACTTATAATATACTATATGTAAATGACATTTCAGGTCTCCCGTGCTTCCCACACGAGCAGGAAACTTGGGTCCTTTTAAGCTACATGCGCGAAGAAATAAAATAAGCTCCATTATTGCAAGAGGATCGTCGTTTTAATTTGAAGACTTTCTAATGTCATCTTAATGTGGAGACATTTGAATTTTATTAATTTCCAAATATTATATCTCTTTCTATCATCCAAACAATTATGTTGTTGGCTCTGATAATGTCAGATGGAAATAAGAATTTGTTTTCCAAGGTAACTGGATGGCTCCAGTAAAACAATCCATTGAAAAATGAACCTGTCATTAAATTTTTTATTAAGGCATTGCATGCCTGAACTGCAGGAAAAATTGAATGACCGCCTAGCCATTTCATTGTGAAAAATTCAGTCCAGCCAGCCCCCCGCGTCGGCCGACCTAGCCACCGCCGGGATGGAAGCTCGTCCTCCGTCTTCCCTGCCCTTGCCGCCGCCAGGACGCGCCGCTGGACAATGCCAACGTGGCTGCTGCAGCGGCAGGGCTTCTCCCTCCCCGTGAGACGGAGCTCCCGTTTGGCTGGCTCGTGCGGGTGCCAGCGCATGGGGTGTCGAGCGGGCGGCGGTAGCCCTTCCGGCGTAGATCCTCTCCGGCTCGGGTTGCGGCGGTGGTGCTGCACCTTCCCGCGGGGCTTGTCCGGCGTCAGGCTGCGGGGCGGTGGATCCGTGGCTCTGGCGCTCAGATTTGTTGGGAGCGGGTCGTCGGCCTCTGGATGGCAGTCCAGCGGTGCAGCCGACTGCTCCGACCGCGCTGGTGGTAGGGAGGCTGGTGCGATGCCATCGGGAGAGCGGATCCGGGGCTACTTTGCTCGGATTCTGTTCGTGGTGGGCCTGGCGGCCAGTGGCGGCTGCGTGGGCTGGCTCCTGGCATGGATCCAATGACTGAGCGGCGGGCGTCACACGATGGCGTGGGTTCGATCCGGCTGCTATGTGGGTTGCTATGTAGGGGTGGAGGACGACGGCGTTGTCCCGCCGCACTTGGGAGTGGAGCTCGGTGGAGTGTGGGATGCAGGGCAGAGGCAACGTATCAAAGACACCCGTCGGGATGTGGTTGCAACCAAGGTTTTGGATCCCAAGCAGACCTTTTTTCTCGAGGGTCACCGGAATTTGCGGCTACCACGGTAACCGTGAAATTCCGAAAAAAATTCGGACGAAATTTAAATTTAAAATTTGAATTCAAATATTTTCGACGTCGATAAAGATACATATTTTACTCTAAAGTTTCAGTGAACCCGCGACTAGCAGGTAAAGAAAGGATGCCCTTGCCACTAGGCCACTGCCTATCTTGTTGTAAAAGAAGAGATGGGGCCTATTTAAATAGACAGTGAGTATTTGAATTCAAAATTTTCAAAATGTTCGAGATATTTTGCTCGGTACGACTGTTTCTCGAGGGGGAACGGTAAACGCGGTAACCGCGCGAGATCGCGAAATTTCGCTCGGTACCCAAAACGCTGGTTGCAACGTATCGAAGGCTGGCCATACCATAGTAGTGATATCTTAGTCGGTATCATGCATTCAGAAATAGCAATCATGTCTATGTGGTAGAGAATTAAAGAAGAGAGAGGGGGTTAGAGTAACATAGGTATATACTGTATCATGTTAAATGCTATGCTACTTTGTGTCATGCATGGGAATAAATATGATCATCTATGATACTACTCTATGATAGTATGCACTATGAAGGTTGTATTATATACTAGTATCATGTGCACAATACTAGTATATGATACTCCTCACTATGAGTAGCCGAAGATGTGCTTCCAACGTATTGAAGTGGGGTATGTTCTCCCTAAAAAAAGAAGTGATATGGCCCAATTATGTCTTGACTGGAGTAAATTGCTTAAAGCCACCACATTTGTGACTAAGATACTCCAACAACTTATCGTTTTTGTCAAAAATCACAAAAGACACCAACTCTGCGGCAAGTGAGTAAGAGATTGCATTGATTCAAAATTCAACTGCGTCTTACAGAAAAACTGACGGGTGTGACCCGTCTATGTGGGCTAATGTGGCGAAGACTAAACCTAGTCGTTGTTTGACCTGCTGAGGTGGACAGGGGGCCTACCTGTCAGCCACAGCACCAAGGTCATCCACACTGACGGCTAGTCCAAGGTGAGCGCACAAGCGCGTTGACGGGAGGCGACCTTCGGGGGAAAATGTAGGAGCCGCCGGAAGGGCCCGCCGGTGGCGGCTGTGCCGCGCGCACATCCGCCTACCCTTGTTGCAGGAGAAATGGCCACCGCTCGAGCTCCTAAGCCGCCGCTTGACCTCCTGTGCCGCTTCTCGAGGGTCAAGCCCGCCCCGCGCCCCGCTTGCCGCATCGTCGGCGCTTGTCGCGCGTCCCACGCCCGCTGGCAAGCCAGCGCTTGCCGTGCCGCCATCTTGCGCCTCCACGTCGCCACCTCGCATGCGTCTGCAACGCCGCCGTTGTGCCTGTGCCTACAGCGCCGCCGCCCCGCATGCGTCTGCATCACCGCTGTCGCGCCCATGCCTACAGCGCTGTAGCCCCGCCTGTATCTGTAGCGCTGCTGTCGTGCCCGCGCCTGCGTGCCGCCGCCCTGTCCTCGCCATGGAGCTCGGGCTCGTGCAGCCCTCCTCAACGGCATACTATCCACAGGCGTGTGGGAGAAGAGGCGGATGGAGCACGGTGTAGTCGGGGGTGTCGCCGCTGGGGCAGGGCCGGAGTCTCAACGGGGGAGAGACAGGAGAGAGAGAGATGTAAGCATGAAGAAAGAGGTGTTGGGCATGAAGAAAGACCCTTGGCCACGTCAGCGTGTTGTCCATGTAGATATGCCATGTGGACCCGACAGGTGGGCCAGCATAGTCAATTTTCCTATTCGTCACGGCTCACAGCTCATTTAGTGCAATCTGTTACTCACTTACCACAGAGTTGATGGTCTTTTGTGATTTTTAGCAAAAGCTATGGTTTTGGAGTACCCTAGCCACAAATGTGGTGGCTTTGAGCAATTTACTCTCTTGACCGCAACGCACCCTGCATCAAGAGTCAGTTATCCAACCAAAGACCCTATCCGTTAGAGGCGGACCAAGCCCAAGATTTCAGCAAGGGCCCAAATAATACAATATTGGAATTCAAAGTAGTAAAAATATAAATTGACTAGGGCCTTGGCCCCAACTCAGCCCATCATGGATCCTCCCGTGGTATTGTCATGTGGAGTTGCCTTGATAATTAATGTAAAATCAGACAAAAGCATTGGTCGTTTAAGGACTACACTTCTTGTATCCCCAACAATATGATCCATGCACCGTACTAATTAACCCTGATGTCACTGGTGGTCAGAATAGCACTTCACAGTCTTCCTGCTCTTAGCCTCTTCGTAGCTCAATCTCCATGATCCGTAGCTCAATCTCCATGATCCTGGGTACCTGTAGGGACGAAGAACACGAACGAGTCAAGAGACAACTACAAAGCAATTTTTTTCACACATATAAGACGCTAGTTTAAAATACTTCCATCGATCTCTCCAACAAATGCATACTGTTGTAGGGCTATGCCTCAACCTATTGCCTTACCCAACTACTCACATATGGTGATGGAGATGGGAAATGGTGACGGATGGGTTACATATGGCTTTCGGTGGTGAAGATGGAGGTTTCGACAATGAAATGTCAATGCTCTGATTCGATTCTAGTGTTGACCCTTTAATGATAGTTGTTTGGTTGGACGAGACGGTGCCGTGGGCGCCTCATATGAGCACGTGCGGTCGTATGTGTGGCCATCTTGCGCTATGGTTGCGTCCTGCGCCTCTCACTTGGCTATCCTCATCTTCTCTTTGCCCCTTCCATATGTGTGCTTGATTTAGTGCATGTATAGCCCAATTTCAATGGAAACAAATTACAGAGAGGATATTGGAATCTTTTGTATTCATTAGTCATTACTACAAATATCAAATGGATATCCTGATTTTTATGAAATAACCCGGTTTAAACTCAGGTGTGACGAGCGTAAAAATAATACTCATCAGTGTCTTCGATGTAATTTATCGATTTGCTCCGAGCCCAAGTCTATTTGATTTTGAGTTGACCGCGTCCTCCTGTTGTGCTTTGTTTCTTGGG